AGCTGCACATTTAAACACATTAATTCATTTGACAAAGAGATAAGGATTCAAGCTCTTGCCCCACTGCAACTCCTCACACAAATTCAAGGGTTAAAATGTATTTTCCCTGGAATCTTTAAAAGCCACAGACACAGAAATACTCACAGACCTTGAAATAATCCTTTTCCTTCAAGCTCCTGAGCAATCTCTCCCACAGAGGACCCCTTAACACGTTTCTCTTGGCATCAGGAGCCACTTTACTGCCCTTCGAGCACAACATTTCAAAGCCACAAGCCTGCAGACAAAAGATGCAACAACAAGAGGTTCTCAAGGTGTGACAGACTTTGCTCACATTTCTCTGGACAAGCAGGCAACTTCCAGACAAGGACCCATTCCCCGGACATGCATGAACCAAGGCCAAAATGCCCCAGGAATCATTACCAGGTTCATGCCCAGCCCTGCAGGCTCTGTACTGAGGATGAGCTGGGGCGGGCAGGGTGTATCCACTGCGTCTGTCTGGAACAAACTGCTGCTGTACCAGCTGTGCATATAAACACCGAGTGAAAGTCACCTGCAACAGCCAGAGCAGAAACAAACACTCCCTGCAGCGGGACTGGGCTGGGGACAGCCAGCAAACTCCCTCCAGGGTCACCAGAGTGGCTTTGGAGGCACCCATATTACAGCCAGTACCTGAGACTGCATTCAAAATACATCTTAGAAAGATTTTTCTGATAAATTACTTTTCAGGCTTTACCAAGTTTGTCCCAAATTGAAATCCCCAAGCAAATATAAACTTTAGTCATTCTAAATACATTAGGAAAAATCCTTGATATTCTGTAAAATCCCCATTTGAATTGCAACACGTTTCATCAAATATATCTTGTTTCCTTAACAACAATAACAGTTACACGTTTCTCTTCAACTAGAGAAGTGCTTCAGGCTAACCAAGATATCCTAACTGCTTCAGAACATCCCAGGCATTAAAAAGGAGCATTTCAGGCGCTACAGGCGACCTAGGCTGGTCCCTGATCCTAAGAAAAGCCCTGGATGCAACGTTCTCAACTCCCTCACTCTGTCTGTTCCTTCAAACAATAAGAAAGTATGAGCCTGACACTCCAGGGACACACTTGCAATCCATTTTGGTGTTGTGTTCCAGCCCTTGTAAGAATCTTGGAGTGGGGAAAAAGAATTGAACAATTTTTTGCTAATGACCAAACTAATGATCTCCATTTTAATTCATTGCCATTAGCAGCCATCCATATCCAGAGGAAGGTGACTGCTCATTATTTCACCTGGCCCAGAAAAAACCTGTGTCCTTACAGAGACAGCAACACTCCAGCCCTGAGCATTCCCTACCCTCAGGGACACTTCTGAATCCATGTCTGCTGGGGTTTTTTTAA